GCAAGTTTGGAGACTAAGTGACAAGGATCTTCAGTGATTTTCAACTAGTGTGCCATGAAAAATTTTAAAGATCATTAATTAAATTATTTTCGAAAGAAGTTCAAAGCACAGTAAGTATATTCTTTTTCTTCTTCTTCTTCTTTTTTAAATGTGTTTTCTTTTATTTATTTATTTACTTATTTATTTATTGAGACAGAGCCTCAAGCTATCCCCCTGGGTAGAGTGCCATGGCATCACAGCTCACAGCAACCTCGAACTCCCGGGCTCAAGCGAGTTTCCTGCCTCAGCCTCCCAGGATGCTAAGACTACAGGCACCTGCCACAATGCCCGGCTATTTTTTTGGTTGTAGCCATCATTGTTATTTGGCGGGCCTGGGCTGGATTTGAACCTGCCACCTTAGGTGTATGTCGCTGGCGCCTTAGCCACTTGAGCCACAGGCGCTGAGCCATCTTTTTCTTCTTTTTAACTCTTTTTTTAATCAATGGAATGAAAGTGTGCTGTGGAAGTTTAACTGTAAGTTCAAGTGTGCCATGAGATTAAAAAGGGTTGAAAAACACCTGATCTAGAGGCACAGCTATAGCCACAACCAGCCTATGAGCTGTGTGCCCTGGCACTTATTTGCAAGGACAGCCTACCCAGTCCTCTGCCTTCTGAGACTTTCTACCAGGAGCAGAGTGTGGGGCCTTCCCACATGGCTGCTATGGTGAAAGTGAGGGGTCCCAAAGGCCTGGGCTTCCCCCAAGTTCCCAGTATGGTCCTCCCTTCTGAGTCTTATGGGGGTGGGGGTTGGGAACTGGGAGTGGGAGCCATGAAACACTTGACCTTGGCTAAGCCAAACACACATTCTAAGCCCCAGGCTGTGAGGATTGGTGGAAGAGAAGGTCACATGACCTAAGCCAGGCCAATCGGTGTGCTTATCAGGGATTTTGCTGAGAATTCTGGGACAAAGACTCTTTTTCCTAGTACATGTGAAAGAGGAACAGTTCCCAGGCAGCAGTGGGAACTGCTGAGGCTATAGCAGCCTGTGGTAGGATATATCTGACATTGTGACAGGGAAAGTAAAGTTAAAGAAAACAAAACTGGGCTTTAGTGAATTCCTGAGTAGCTGAATCAGTTCTCAGACTCTAGAAAGACATTTCTCTGCATTTATGTTTCCCTAAGTTCCTAAATTTCCCTTATTGTTAAGATGCTTGGAGTCATGCTTTTCTTTGTTCACATCCAAAGCATCTTCACTGGTACAGAGGTGTCACTGGGCGGGGGTCTATTAGTTCCCTTTTCTACCTTCCAGAAAGGTTGCTCTTAGGAAAACGGCAGCTTTCAGCATTGCCCTTTGACCCAGGACCACTTAGACTCTATCAGAAGAATTAAGTCCTCTAGATTTCTGGACTCTAGTTGCACCAATCCTTCATTTCCAGTGGTCATACAGATGGTTTTCCAATGTGAATATTTTCCTGGCCCTGCATTAGTTCTCTAATGCTGCATAAAAATTTACCATGAATTTAGTGGCTCAACACAGCACACGTTTATTATCTCACACTTTCTGTGGGTCAGGGTCTGGCATAGCTTTCCAAGTCTCACAAGGCTCCAATCAAGGTATTGGCTGGACCATGGTCTTTTCTGGAGCTCAGGGTGGGGATAGGGATACTTCTTCAAAGAGTCTCACATGATCAAAGAATTCAGCTCCTTGAGGTGATAGGATTGAGGGTCTCAGTTCCTAGGCACTTGCATTTCCCTGCCATGGGTTCACCCCAGAGCTTGCTTCTGGAAGGCCTACAGGACAGTCTTGCCCTCTAGTTTTGGACTGGAGAGTGGGACAATCATTTCAATAGTAATTGAGTTTTTCTAATTGGTACATAGCTAGGCTAAAACATGTTCTTGGCCTCTAGCACCATGGCCTCCTTTTACTCTGTCTTGGGGACGTCAGATTGGCCTGAAGAATGGTTTGAAGTGTTACTGAGGGATAGAAGCCAGTGTGGAAAACTGAAATTAAACCAAGAAACTGGGCATCGTAGAAACCCAGGAAGCAGGAACAGCTAAGGTGTCCCAATTCCTAAGGCTGCCCCTGGCTCTCCACCAGCCCATCTGTGTTTGCCCACACTCCAGGGCAGCAGGGTGGGGTTTATTTCTTCTGTTGGACTGCACGGTGGGCTGCTCTGCATTTTACCTTGAGACTCAGCAGAGGCTCACGGTAATGCTTAGACTTACGTGAATGTGTTCGTTCCGTTGTTGAACTGAGCCAGCAGCAAACGTTCTACCTTGCAAAGGGAGGAGATGAGACTTAGGTGTAAAATTTATTTCCGAGTGGTGCCGGAGTCCTGTTGATAGACATTTCGCCCCGTTCAACATAAAGTGACTCCTTTGTCAGAACTCTAGCTGTGAAGAGGTTAATACCAGCAATAATAACCTTGGAAATGAGTTTCGAAAGCTCCATAAGGAGAACATAAATGTGTGGATTTTATTTTTTAAGTGTAATAAAGATAGTGCAGATAATTAGGCTGAAAATTACCCTGGTTTTGGTTCTTCTTTGTCATTGAGGACCCACTGTAAAATTTCATCCATTTGCCTGTGATCTCTGTGCCTGTCATAATTCTGCAAGGATTATGTCCAAATTATCTCCGCAGTAGCCAATCGTGGTGTTACAAACAGGGAATTAAGACTTCAGGAGGTAAATAAACAGAGACAGCAGGAGCCCCGAGAAGCAGAGAGGCATAAACCTTCTGCTCTCCTGAAAATGCTTCTGAGGACTGAAAGAAAATGCAAAGAAAAGAAAGAAAACCCGGCTTGTTCTGTAAAGCCAGCACTCTCCGTGGAAGGAACGTGATTCCATTTTCTCAGATGACACCCGTGAACCTTTCTCAAGCAAGAGAAGGCACGAATCACTGTCACATTATGTATAAATAATGTGCCGAGTGTGCAGTTTTTTCAAAGTGCAATGCACATTAGTTCCTATACAATCCAGGGTCATTGTGTAAAGAGAGAGTCATCTTTTATGACCACAGAGCACTTTAACCCATTTCATGTTTTGTTTTCTTTTCAGGAAGGAATATGTCTTTAGATTACAGTTTAGAGACGACAAGAAGCAGAAACTGATTTGTGCCTCGTGTTCCCTGGTGAAAGCATCGTCAGCACGCAAGGTTGACCACATCACACTGGATAGTTAAATGATCACTTCCATTTCCTCGGTCTTTCAGCGGACGTTGCTGTATTGATTGCTGTACATTTTGTTTAACCCTGGGAGTGCCCTCTGTGCCTGGTTAAGCCCTTCACACCTTCCCAACTCAATCAAATTAACTTAGGAAAGACTTTATGGGTCTCTTTTGCACGGTCTAAAAAAACCAATGACTTATATTCTTATTTTCTGCATTTCATGGATAAGGAGAATTTTTTTTGATGTAGTATACTTTGACTTTAAGACTGCATTTAACAAAGACTGTCGTGTTAAGCTGTCTTTTAGGGAAGAAGAGGAAATATGGCTAAATTGGTGTTTAAGCAGGTTGATTGGGATCACCTGTATTCCAGAATCTCAAATAGTCAGTGTGAGGGCAGGCTATAGTGAATAATTACTCATAAAAATATCAAAATAGTTTGACAAAAAACGGTGTGCACATTTTTTTTTTTCTTTTGGCAGATTTTGGCTGGGGCTGGGTTTGAACCTGCCACCTCTGGCATCTGGGGCTGGTGCCCTACTCCTTTGAGCCACAGGCACCGCCCCAGGGTGCAATATATTTTTTTTTTTCACTTAGCAATATGTCTGTGCAGTCTTTGATGTCATTAGAAAAAAAAACTGTAGAATATATATAATCTCAACTGCTGATATATTTATGGGCTAATAATTTAATTTAGATTTCCAAGGCAGTGTAAATCAGACTAATAGCTTTTCAAATTTCTGTCTTTAAGAGCAAAAGAAAGCATTTCGGCACAAATATATACACATTTCTGCACAAATATATTATATATATATGTAAAATTAAGTGGTAAAGAGCAGTCCATGAAATTTTACTAAAACCAAGTACAGGAAAAGAAAACAGAAAAGATACAAGCTTAATTATTATCCGTGGTTGTGTTTGAGGAGGTGCTTAGTCAATTACAAGGCTGGTTGTTGCAGAGCGATTCTGTAATGATCCAATTGCAGGGAGACAGTTAGGGGATTATTTCAACAGCTAGTGCTGAAATGACTCTTCTTTGTTAGAAAACCACCTCAGTAAGGTATTTGTAGATAAAAGATGGTGCTCTCCATAGTAGCCAGGAGAGCCAAGGTAATGGTTATGATTCTCGGAATGAGGCCATGAGATTAATGCCTTTGTGCTTTTGAGAAGAAAAATGGAAAGATAAAGAGAAGACAGAAAAGGGGGTGGGAAGGTGAGTGTAGGTAGAAAAAAATCAGCCGTATATGGCACAGTTGGCTTTCTTGGAGTAGGAAGTGGCTCATAAAGTTCCTTGATGCTCATTGGTATGTGAAGAACAGAAAAATCTAATGTTTAACCTGACCCTGAAGTTCAATTTGAAGTGGCGTGTACTACTGGGTGCAAACCTCTCCTTTGTCAGCCATCAGCAAATTTCACTACAGCCAGAAATCTTGTGGGTTGTGGTTGTGGTGCACTGGATATGTGTGTATGTTTGTATGGAAGCTAAGAAGGGGCTGAGTTTTGTGTCCCAGTTGCAGTGATACCAAACCGAGTTGGTACAGGCAGCACAGGGGTCTTTAATGCCTTCCTTGTTTGGGAGTCAGACTTGAAGGCGGAAATATGGAAGTCTTACTTGTCCCCATTTCTCAGGAAAAGTTGAGTTATTCCCCCAAGGCCACACAAGGAAAGAGTGGATTTTGTGGCACCTGTGGCTCAAGGAGTAGGGCGCTGGCCCCATATGCCGGTGGTGACAGGTTCAGACCCAGCCCTGGCCAAAAAAAAAGAAAGTGGATTTAGGAATTGAACCCAGGTCCTATGTCTCCAGACCTCCTTAATCATTAGGTCATTCTCATATAGCCTTTTGACCCAGCTCACCACTGGAGGCTGGCATGGGGTGGTAGGACTCAGAAGCATCATGATGATGGCAGTCTTCTCCTTGTCTTGTCCAACGACTCCATTCTCTTCTGATGAGAAGCAGGAAGACATCATGTACTTCTCTGGAGGCTCTGGGACCATCCAAACAGGCCTTTAAAACACCCAGCGTTTCCCAGGAGGGACCGTTTACAACAGCCTCCAACTCCTTGGGCTTGTTGCCCCTCCAGTTTATATCAGGGGCTTTGATGAGCCCTTTGATCCCGCAGCCAGGTGGACAGGCCAGGCTAATGGTGCGGGTTCCAGCTCCCTGTGGTCGTGAAGCTCTCTTGGCGAGCTTTTCCCACGTTGCTGTGCTCAGAGTGCAGCAGAGGAATTGCAGAGCTGGCGAAACCTTGCAGGGTACTTGTTCCCAGTCCCCTCATTTAGCAGCTGTGCATGAGCAAGCAGGCCGTTCATCTGCACTGCTTCGCCTTGCTGTCAGTGCTAACCTGGCTGGCTGGAGCCGTCTCATTTGTGTAGATGGCTATAATGGGCCCAAGTGATGCATTTTGGGGGAGGGGTCAATCTGGTGACAGTTTCATACACAATACGTGTATCACACAGGCAATGTGATTGCCAACGCATGGACGCTAGGGTCTCTTTGCCTCATTTATCTGGACACTGTACCTGCTTCCTCCTCTTGTGCTGCTATTGGCATGGCAAAGTCCGTATATGGAAAATCATTCGTATTCCAGGAGGTTGTAAGTATCACCACAGTGATCAAGTAAGTCCTAAGATCCAAATTCTTATCATTGTCCAAATATTAACTGGGAAAAAATAGAGCTACTTTGAGGGAAGGGACTGAGTGTGTGTGTGTGTGTGTGTGTGTGTGAAAAGGAATGTTATCATTCTTTATTCATGGTGATCCTCTCTCTGAGTCTCTGGGAAAGAGGGGTGGATTAATTGCCTTTTTATAGTAGGGTTAATTTACAGAGGATCATTTATTTCCTCTTTTCCAGTGCCAAATGCGGTCATGAGCTTTTCAGAGCTTGACAGTCAAGTTCAAAAAAATGGGAAAGAGGGAGCATTTCTCTGAAAAGAGTATTTCTCTATACGAAGAAGATAAAATTGGGGAGAGGTCATTATAATGAAGAGGTGACAGTCATTGAAAATAACTCTTAATGACCAATCAGTGGTGAGGTAGCTTTTAATGATTTCTGTTTCCCTATGTCTATTTTCATGTTCTGTTAGGAAATAAATTATCCTGCATGTTGCAGATGTGCTCCATTGATATTTAGTAAAGCAAAGCTGGTTTGCATTCTTTTTCTGCTATAGTGCTTACCATTTAACCCTTACTGTAGAATAATGACTTTAAAGTCTCTCAGAATAAAGACTCATCTTTCCAATGCTGTACTGTTCATTTATTCATATCATGGAGCTGATAGTTTGTGTCAATATATAAAAGAAAATATAGGGCGGTGCCTGTGGCTCAAAGGAGTTGGGCGCTGGCCCCAAATACTGGAGGTGGTGGGTTCAAACCCAGCCCCAGCCAAAAAAAAAAAAAAAAAATCTGCCAAAGAAAATATATTACCTATATGTGTAGATATATAGATTGGAGGAAGAAAAGAAACACACATACAAGAATCTTACTCTTTTTTTTTTTTTCAGATAGAAGTATGTCTATTATAGAACGCTTTGATCAGTTAACTTCTTATTTTGTTTTTTCCAAAGAATCTTACTCTTATAATTAAGCAGAGGCCATCAGATTTGAAGATGGAGATGCAGGATATCAATTTTGCTCTTGTAGAAGGGGCAGGTGCCTGGCCAGACAGAGGGCACATCAGGACAGTGAAGGCAGAACTTCTTACCCTTCAAATCTCACGGAGTCAGCTGAAAATGTTTCCCCATCCTGTCTCCCACTGCATCAGGGACCTGCGAAGTTCCACGATCCCTGCGCTGTGTGTGTAGGGAGAACATTAAAAGGTGATGGTGCCGAGAAGAATTTGAAGTCGCCATTTGGTGCCCAACCATGAAAATTGTTTCCCATTGTATTAGTTACCTATTTCTATACATCTAGTGACCCCAAAACACAGTGTCTTCAAACAACACACAGCTGTTATCTCACAGTTTCTGTGGGTCCCAAATCCAGGTGTGGCAAGGCCTCTCTGACTCGGAGTATCCACAAGGCTGCAACCCAGGTACTGTCTGGCGCTCTGCTCCTCTCATGGCTCGAGTGGAAATGGTTTTGCTTCCACAGTCACCTGCACGGCTGCTGGCAGCCTCGGGTCCTTCCTAAATGGTACTTACTCATGACATGGTAACTCTTACCACAGGGCAGCTTACAAGGAGGCTGGCTTCACCGAGAGCTGGGGAGCAACCCAGAACAGGGCCAGCATGTAGGCCAGAAGCCACAGTCTTCATGAACCCAAACTTGATGGGGCATCTTATCACTTTCACTATATTCTAATCTCAGAGGTGAGTTAACAGGTCCAGTGTATACTCAGGAGGAGGAGATTACAGAAGGGCATGAACACCAGGAGGTGGGGACAGCTGGGGACCCATCTCAGAGGCTGCTGACTCTGCCAATGGATCCAGAGTGATTACATGTTGCTTAATGTGTGATTAGTCTCCTCAAATCACAGAGCAGGGGAGCTCAGGGAGGGAACTGGAGGCCCAGAAGCACCATGGATCCTACTTTGTGAACCCCTCATTGTTTCGTCCTCTGAGACAATCCAAGGGAAGCAAACATGGGATTTAGATCGAGCTGCTGTAACTGTGTGTCCAGGCCTCGGCTCGTATTCCAATTCTGAAGGTCACGTCCACAGCCGTATGGGGTGGCTGGCATGGCGGGGAGTCAGGCAATGGTGCAGTGTCCTCTCGGTGGTGGTGGCCAGGCAGGAGGCCACGCAGCTTGGGAAACGCAGCTCGGCCATGCACATAGGACTGGGCCACTGAGAGTCCTTCCTAGCCCCTCAGAATCAGAAGCACAAACTTGTAGATAACATTACATAACAGCTGTAATTGCAGCCAAAAAGTCTTTCTTTGAGAAACTGATTCATTTCACGGAGACCAGACCAGACCTGTGGATTTGCTTACTGACAGCAATTTAAGGCAGCAGAGCAGGGCAGTTAGAAGTGAGCTGGGTTTGAGTGCTCTCTTATTAACTGGGCAAATGTAGATATGTCAATTAAAATCACAAAGTCTCACTTTTCTCACCTGTAAAATGGGGACATTGTCAGTATTCTCCCCCCCCCCCCCCCAGTAAACGTGGATGCCATCTATGATCACTTGTGTAAAGGGCTGGCCTTCCATGCTGTGGTTGTTAGAGTATGACTGAGGGAAATGCATTTCCTGTTCCTCATTCTTTTTTTTTTTTTTTGCAGTTTTTGGCTGGGGCTGGGCTTGAACCCTCCACCTCCGACGTATGGGGCCAGTGCCCTACCGCTTTGAGCCACAGGCGCTGCCCACCCTTCCCCTATTCTTTAGTAGAAGGAATTTTATTCTACTAATGGGATTTTCACTCTCATAGGAAAGGAAGACCTTTCTTCTACCCTCTTTCTGACCTTTACTCCTTCCCTCCTAGAACAGAGGAATGTTTTCTGACTGGTGATGGGGGAGAGGAACTGAGCATGCTCAGTCTTTTGGCTTTGCCTCTGCAGAGGGAGTATATTTTCATTTGCTTTCTACTATATTGAAAGCTTATCTAGGCAGATTCTGCCCTGATCTGGGGGAACCAGACAGTTTCACAGGGACAAGTTCTTCTTTATCTGGGGGAATATTCAAGAAACCCAATGTGATGACATAGTCTAATCCACGCATTATCAGTAACAAACTTGCTAGCTTGATCTTCGTTTATCTGTATTTTTCAATGAATTTCACACAAATAGAAATATTAATGGTATCATTCCTCCTGTTCAGTCAGTTGTGCATACTGGCTCAGATACGTGTTAAGGTAAAGACGGTGCTGAGAACATCCATCCACCTTTCCAAAACAAATTTAACCCTTTTCTGCTTCTCTGGGGAGCTTTTGCCCTTCTGTGGATGATTCAGGCCAGATCTGGGGATTGAATTATCCAAGAGGCACTTTTCTTTATTGTCTATGTGGAGCATGTAGAGAAGGGTTGACTCCTGAAGGGTGACAGTGTTACTGCTGCAAGCCCAAGGCTTCCTGCAGTTACCCTCCTCCCAGGGCTGTGGGGGAGGAGCGGATATGAATACACCTGCCTCCTGTCACTGACAGGAGCTTGGTTAGGAGGCACAGCCGGGCGGCTGGCCAAAAGTACTTGATCATTAAATCTCCCACCTCCTGGTTTCTCAAATAAGAGTCCTTTGCATACAGAATCATGTCATCGTCTAGGAGCAAGCTGTCATTTCAACTCTTACTTTGTGGAAAAAACATTTTCTAAAATTAGCCACCCATGCTTGTCATAATTACAGCTTTCCCAAGCAGCCACACCTGACACTAGGGGAGCTTTCGCTGATGGCTTTAGAATGCCCTTACCTCCCATTTTTCAAAGCAAATCAGGAAAGGAAAAAAAATAAAACAGGGAAATTAATGACAAAGAATTTAAGATTCACATTGGATGACTTTAGTGTGTTTTTGCCTAAAACTACAAAAAAATACATTTTTACCTTTTAAAAATTTGGAGGGACTTTATGGGGGTAAAATGAGATAAAATATGTGAAGCACAGTGTCAGGCACCCAGAGCAAGTTTTCAATAAATAATAATAACATTATCAACAGAACTAGCATTGACAAGCCAGCCTCAAAGGCTATAGGGAAATTCTATGTGGGAGCCTGTCCTGAAGGGGTTTCAGGGAAAAGTTTCATTTCCATAGACATCTCAGTAGCAAGGATTCTTATGGAAGCCTAATCAATGTTTTCCAAACTGGTGTTCTGAGAACAAGACTTTAGGATATGATACTAGATGGCTTGAATTAGCAATCATAGGTGGCTCAAATTAACAAATGAAAGCCTGTGGTCAAGCGAATCTGTGACCACCTGCATCCCAGCTGCCCATCTGCCCTAGGTCTCCATGGTACGTATTTGGATTTCACAGCCTTTGAGACACCCCTTAGGAAAGAAAGCTGATTCCTTTTGCTTAACTCCGACTCTAGGAGAGGAGCCCCAGGCAGAGGCATTTTTGCAAAGGCAAATATGA